CCAGCACTTGGGGAGCTGAGGCAGGAGGATCATTATGAGTTCAAGGCTATCCTGGGCTACATACTGAGTTCAAGACCAGCCTGAACTACACAGTGAGACCCTGTGTCAAAAATAAATAAGTAAATAATCTTCATAGTATTAGAAAGCCTTAAAAAAAAATTGAGCCCTTGCGTGCTTAGCTACCTTCCACCTCCCATGAACTGTCTCTCCTCTGCAATGCCTGTCTGCCATGATACCCTGATGTGGAGCCTGCCAATTATAGACTGAAGCCTCTAGAAACTGTAAGCTAAATAAACCTTTTCTCCAGAGAAAAGAGAGAAAGTGAGAGGGAAACTGTAACTCAGGCATATCAATATGAGATGCAACAAAAATTGTTATAATAATGTTACATCTTTTAAATGAAAAAGAATCACATTTTGTGGCTGTCCCATCTTGGATAGCATATGTACTGGACGCTTTTCCTAGTATGGTGAAAGAAATGCAGTTATGCTCAACAGGAACAAACCTAAGCCTTGTTTTCCTGAGTTCGATTCCCAGTACAAACAAAAAAAGTTTTCCTCTTCTCCTTAACACTTGGCACCTCCACCTCTCCCTATGCTTTAGAGGTGCATCCTTTTCAGTAAAACTTCCATTGTCTCAAATCTTAATGGGGATCCTTATTCCGGGCTCCCACATTTTCTACTCTCCTCATCTCAGCACTCATTCATGTGACATAACCCAGTTGTCATGAATGTCTTTGTTGCTATAGCGAAACAAATGCTCGTTAATTGGTCAAAAACAGATATGAAACATGCTCATTACCTGTATTTCGTAAGAATGCTTAAGTACATCATTTTGTAAATGAAGAAATCAAGGTACAGGGAAGGAATTTAAATTGTCCAAGGTTCCAAAAGTGGTGGCAAGGGACAACAGAATGTAGAACCTGTGACTTCAGAGTCAGGAACTATTTTCACTGTACTACGTTTCGCTTTAATCCGAGGTCCTACTTGACACAGCTCTGACTGAGCAAATCGAAACGTTCAGAGTAAGGAATTTCTGGAAAGATAACTTGACTTGCTCGTTCTCTTCAGACTGTTTAAAAAACAAAAACAAAAAAGCCCGCCTGGGACATTTTATAGGTGTGCTACGGGTTTGTTGTTTTCCTAAGAAAAACAGGCCGTACCAGCATACTGGGGAAGCTGCCACCTTTTCCAAAAGCTAAACTACAAAAGTGGAAGCCAAAGCGCGGTCCCTGCAGACCGACAGCAACCCTCTTAACTCCTCTCTCTCATCAACTTTTGAATCCTCCCCGCTTCCCTGTTAGCCTTCCCAAAGCACATCATAGATCTCCCTCCCGCCTCGGACCTGAGCAATCTTACTGCATGATCTCCTCGCTGACATCTAGGCCGAAAGTTTTTCGCAACTGCTGGGTGCACCAGTGTACTAGAGGCTCCCTGGACACGGCCTCAGCTACCGCCATCTTCCTCGACCGGAACCAGCTGGGCAGCAAAGGACCCAAGTCCTACGCGGGACTGGTTCCCTTCACAACACCGACCTCGCTCACATGGGTTCCGCCGGCTCGCCCAGGCCCCGCGCTGGCTCCGCCTCCAATGCAGGTCCCGCCCACGTACGTGGCCTCGGGCTGCTCCCTGCTTCCTGGTATTTATGCCTCAGCAGGATCAACGTGTGACCCTTATACCTCGTTAGGTCTAAAACTCGATGAACGCCATTGGCAGTATTGCTGAGAAGACAGCCCAAAAACCTACAAAAAGTATAGTTGAGGGAGCATAAGAAACAGTATCCCAAAAAATGACGACATAACTTAAAATCTGATTTGATCTTATGTAGGACTTTTAAAGCAACATTCTAAAAGTTCTGTTAACTTGCTCTGGTGGTGGTGGTTATTACTGATATACCATGTAGTTAAATACTGTATTCACACCCTCACTGTTGGGGATCAAACGCAGGTCCCGGAGCGTGCTAGGGAAGCTCTGCCACAGAGCTACACAGTCCCAGCCCATGTTTAATTTTTTGAGTGAAGTTTTTTCCAGGAGGATCAGCCTCAGCAAAGGTGTGTGTGAATAAAACGGGTACTGGGGTTTAGCTCTGAAGACCTTCCACAGTACTTACAAACCCAAGGATTTATGCAATTTCACATTCCACTGGGACAAAGGGCTGGGAAATATTTAGCCAAGTTCTTCTGGAGAAGATGTCTTCTGATGCATGGCTGGCATTTAACTACTATTATTTATTAATGAATTTATTGGTCTTGGGATTGTACCCAGGTCCTTCGCATCGAGCTACACTCCTCACCCTCCTTTTTAAGATAGGTGATGGCTAAATTGCCTAGGCTGGCCTTGAATCTGCCATCTTCCTACCTCAGCCTGGGGTTATGGGCATCTGTATGACACTTGGCTTACCTTTGCAGGTAAAAAGTTCTCTATTCCTATCAGGATATTTAGACAAAGTTATTATATTACATGCTATTTCACCTTTTTATGCTCATGTCTTCATTTGCATTAATAATCAAATATATGGGCTGGGGATTTAGCTCAGCAGCACATCACCTGCCTGGCAAGCATGAGGTCCTGAGTTTGATCCTTGGTCCCCCCACAAAAAAAGTATTGATTCATATTGTTTATAGTGTCTGTGTTGCCATTAATTTGGAAAATGTGTGTTTTCTAACTTCTTTAAAAAATATTGTCAGTGTGATTGTTAATTGTACAAATTTGGTTTCTTCATAAAAATCTGACTTATTACTAATTATAGCATATCCAAATTCCAAATCATTTAATGTATCCAAATAACTTATCTACAGGAATATTCAGTTTCATAACTAAAATACTAACTTCTTGAAGTCCAAGATTATTCTCTAAGTCCTAATGCACAAAAGAACTCAATACATCATACATACTATGGTAAAATGATTAGTTCCTCAAGAATGACATCAGTATTCTTTTATTTTCTTCAGTATTTTTTTGTAGTGCAAGTTTAATGAGTGTTTTCTCTAGTTTCTAATATGTATAATTTAATGACATTTACAATCATTATCATTTGTTAAATTACATTTCTACCTGAGTGAATAAGCCCACTCATTTCATAGGACTTAAAGATAATTTTTATAATAGGTAGGCATGGTGGTTCATGCCTTCAGTTTAGCACCCAAGAAGGTGAAGACACCACGGTGTTTTTTTTTGTTTGTTTCTCTCTGACATGCATCCTTCATTATCACTGCTGTTTAAAAACACATGCTGAGCCAGGCATGGTGGCCAGGCTGTAAGCCCAGATCCTTGGAGGCTGAGGCAGGAGGATTGCCATGATTTAGAGGCCAGACTGGGCTACAAGTGAGCTCAAGGCCAACATGAACTATACAGAGAGACACTGTCTCAAAAACTAAAACGAACAAACATTAAAAAGACATACAGGGCTGGGGATGTAGCTCAGCTGCAGAGCAATTGCCTAGCATGTGGGTGTGATCCTCAGGCACACACACACACACACACACACACACACACACAGTTCTACTGTAGAACACAGTGCCCTTAAATCAAAAAGTACAGGGCCAGGGATTTAGCTCAGTGGTTTAGTGGCCTGCCTTCCAAACTCAGGGACCTGTGTTCAATCCCTGGTACCAAAAAACAAACAAACAAAAAAGTACAGAGGGCTGGGCATCGTGGTGCACACCTGTAATCCCAGCACTTGGGAGGCTGAGGCAGGAGTATCGTTGTGAGTTCAAGACCAGCCTGGGCTATATAGTGAGTTCCAGGTCAGACTCAACTACATAGTGAGACCCTGTCTCAAAAAACCAAACCAAACCAAAGAAAAAAATACAGAGGGCCAGGGATTTAGCTCAATGCCAGTTTGCAAGCACAAGGGCCTGAGCCGGGTGTGGTGGCGCACATCTGTAATCCCAGCACTTGGGAGGCTGAGGCAGGGGGATTGCTGTGAGTTTGAGACCAGCCTGGGCTACATAGTAAGTTCCAGGTCAGTCTCAACTACACAGTGAGACCCTGTCTCAAAAAGCCAAAAAAAAAAAAGAGAGAGGAAAGTTCAGTACATTAAAATTTCTTTCTAGATATTCACTTGTCATGTAGAGTAAGAGAAAAGACGAACACATTCCCTAGGGAGTTCTAGTCTCTGCAGGAATATGAGATGTGAGTTCTAAATGAACAATCCAGACTTGTGTAAAAGAGACACTAATTGAAAAGGAAATAGTGGTTTTAAGAAGCGCCCACATTGAGATGCGGCCTGGGGATAAACAGAAATACCCTGAAGTGTTTTGATTTTTCTGGTAAGAACTCAGCATGGGTAACTGCCTATACACTTCCTACTGTCATGTTAATGAACTTGGTGTCTAAATGCTGTAATTTTATAACACAATGTAGGTGATTCTGTTAAAAGTACTCCGTAACTTTTTTTTTTAAACACAAGCAGAATTCTTCAGAGACAAACAGTGCTGTACTTTCACTCCTTATGATTGACTTTCAAAGTGAGACATTTACAGAATACATCTCATAGCAAGTTAATCCAACCCAGTTTTAGGCGTGGACTGAAAGTGAAACTCACTCCTAGGGGCATCATAATTAGCAGTACAGGGTTGGAAAATAATTACGACTCCGTATTCTAGTTATGCTTGCCTGGAGGAGGGTTGAGTCCTCCGTACATTTGGCGTATTTGTCCAGGAATGATATTTTGTCATCGTGTGTATATAGATATAAATTGACCCAGTTTTTCTTTAGTCACACAGGACCCTAAGCATATCAAAGCCTGTAGATATATTGTATTAGTTTTCTTTCCCCCACTCCATAGAATTATTATGGAATAAGTGATGGAAAGGATAAGAACTCGTGTCAGGGGTATCAAAACTGTCAAGCTCTATTTATTTTTAGGGGCATCAAAAAGTTCCTCTAATTTTAGGCTTCTCTTCCTGGAGCCAATCATGGATTTCATCGTATGGTAACTTTTGAAGTTGTAATTTTCTTGCTACTGCTTCGTAACCCCCACCTCCGCCACTAGCGGGCTCATTTCCTCCGTTGCGAAGGGGGTGCCCTGACCCACCCCCTGGCGCGGGTGCCAATCAAAGGGCTCTGCGCGTTGATGGACTGGACAGCCCGGCCGTGAGCCTGGCCGCTGTCACCACGGGACCCTGTGATTGGTTTCCTAGGGAAGGCGCGGAACCAATGGGGGTCATGACTCGCGAGAGGTGGTGAGCGCGGGAAAGCGCCCCTTATTAACCGTGGCGGGAGAGTCCTTTTCGTGTCCTTGTCCAGCGAGATACCCTTGGCTGGGAAGTCAGTGTGTTTTCCTCGTCTCTTCGCGGTCTAACATGGTGCGGACTAAAGCAGACAGTGTCCCGGGCACATACAGGAAAGGTGAAGCGATCAGGCACTGCATGGGGTGTGGGGTGAAGGGAGGAATGCCTTGCTCCGGGCCCTGCACACCCAGCTCAGGCCGCCTGGGTCCCTAACCTAGGGGAGGAAGCTGCAGAGAAGGCCATCCGGCTGTCAGGGACCCCGGAGCTGTCCTCTCCATGCCTCTGGGGCTGTGACTGTGCCAAGAACATGACTCGGTGTCCCTGCCAATCCCCTTGGGAATGCCAAGGCCTCAGCTCTCACTTTGTCTTTGCAGTGGTGGCCTCTCGAGCTCCCAGGAAGGTGCTGGGTTCCTCCACCTGTGCCAATAATTCCTCCTCGTTTTCGTCATTGAAGAAAGGTAAGAAAGACCACGGAAGCTCCTGGGTCAACAGGAATCTTCCGGAAAGGGGTTGGATGAGAGCCAGGCGTGGTAGTGACACACAATTGTAGTCCTGGCACTCTGAGAAGTTGAGGCAGGAGGATCAAACGTTCCAGCACAGCCTCCCCCAACTGTGGGTGTCCTTTTGTCAAAAATAAATAAATAAATTGTAAAAGGGCTGGAAATGTAGCTCAGGGCAAAGGCCCCGGGTTCAATCCCCAGTATAACAGAAAAGGGGGTGGAAATCACCAGGCCTGACACCATAGTTCTGACCAGTAATCTCACTCCCAGTAAATTTTTTTTGTTTTTTTTTTTGTTTTTTTGAGACAGGGTCTCACTATGTTGTTGAGACTGACCTGGAACTCAGTATGTAGCCCTGGTTGGTCTAGAACTCATAGCAATCCTGCCTCAGCTTCCCGAGTGCTGGGATTATAGACGTGTGCCACACACCTGGCCAAATTTATTCTAATTAACATCCTCGTGCCGAAATTTCTTATTTGAACTTGGAAGAGGCTTTGGCCTTTTGGGCAGTTGGGAAAGAAGTGGAGGACTCTTAGAAGAGAAGACAAACTATTTTCAAATAGATTTTTTCTTTTTGGGTTTCGCATTTTTCTTGATGTTTTGTTTTGTTTTGTTTTTGTTGTTTTTTTTGAGATAAGATCTCACTATATAGTTTGGGTTGGCTTTGAACTCACTATATAGGCCAGGTAGCCTTGCACTTTCATGCCAGGGTCTTGTTATGTAGTTCAGCCCTGAACTTGCTGTTATAGCCCAGAATGGCTTCAAACTTGTGATCCTCCTACCTCATCCTACCAAGTGCCACCATGTTCAGCTCACCTTCAAAAATCTTTACTATTGTATTCCCTTTTATCTGAAGAGACTGAAATAATAACTATTTTCTAACAAAATGTTTTGAATAGGGGGAAATTTGTGTTGACTTAAAAACTCATGAAGTCCTAAACAGTACTTCCCTTTATGTTTTTAATTAAACCTTCTGGAGTTCATCTTCCTGCCTACTTAGCATCCTGTTGAAAGGAATGAGGCACCAGATGGCAGGGCATTTTCTCATCTGTTCCACAGGCAGAAGGAGCAATGTGAAGCTCTTTCTCTTGCCTACACCTCCTCCTACTCGCCCAAAGGTAGTATCAGGAGCCACAAAGTTAAAAAACATAGATACCATCCTCAAAAGAGAGAGGATGAAAGGAAAGAATTAGAAGAGGGAAAGGAAAGGCAGGAGGAGGGGAAGAAAGAAATGCAGAAACAAAAGGAGAAGCTGGCAGGATGGCACATGCTATAATCCCAGCACTTTGGGAAGCTGAAGCAGGAGAATCTCAAGTGCAAGTTTCATGTAGGCCACTTTTCAAAACCCTGTCTTAGGGGCCAGGGATTTAGCTCAGTGGTTCCGCTGCCTGCCTTGCAAGTGCAAGGTCCCAAGTTTGATCCCCAGTACCAAAAACAAAACAAAACAAAAACAAACCAAAAAACCCTGTCTTAAAATACTGTAAAAACAAAAGAGAGAGGTATATAGCTCAGTGGGAAGGCCATGGGTTCAATCCCCAAGCCTTTCTCTGAAAAAAAAAATCTATATTAAGACAATGTGGTTAGTAAACACATTCTATATCTGGAGAGGAGGTATTTCAATAACCTCTGAAAGACAAAATGACTGCTGGTGTGGTGGTGCACAGGTGTTAATCCCTGAACTTGGGAGGCCAAGGAGGGAGAGTCGCCATGAGTTTGAGGCCTGCGTGGTCTACTTATTTCAAGCCCAGCGAGAACTACGTAGCCAGACCCTGTCTCAAAAAAAACAAACAAATAAAAGTTAAGCTCAGGTTATATAACTTGGTAGAGGTCATACAACTAAGTCAGCAGGGCTGTGTTTAAATCTATTACTTCTAGCCCAAGGTGGGATGTGCCTGTAGTCCCAACTACTTGGGAGACTGAGGCTGGGTTACACCAGCCAGGAGTTGGAGGCCAGCCTGGACAACTTAGAGACACTGTCATCTCAAACAATAAAAATAGGGCTGGGGATTTAGCTCAGTGGTTCTGGTGCCTGCCTTGCAAGCACAACAACCTAAATTCGATCCCCGGTACCAAATAAATAAATAAATAAATCTACTGCTGGTGAATATCTTCTAATGGTGAAGAGATTCCTATGAGTTTTCTGTAGTAAAATTATGAACCAAAGGATCAGTTTTTTTTAATATAGTTCATTTGTACTTTTAGAAAAATACAAATAGGACCAGAAGGGGTGGCACACACCTATAATCCTAGCACTCAGGAGGCTGAGGCAGGAGGATTGCCAGGAGTTTGAGGCCAGCCTGGGCTACATAGTGAATTCAGAACCAGCCTGAACTACAAAGCAAGGCCCTGTCTCAAAAAAAGAAAAAGAAAAAGAAAAATACAAACAGTACTATATAGAAACAACTTTTGTAAGCTTTAATTTTTGGGTTATTTGAGACAGGGTGAGTTCGAGACCAGCCTGGGCTAAACAGTGAGTTCCAGGTCAGTCTCACTACATAGTGATACCCTGTCTCAAAGAACAAAAACAATTTAGAAGTTATGAAAAACATGTTAGTTCAAACTAAATATATATGGGATGACAGAAATTTTTCCCTGTTGGTTTTCAGATACTATATAAAGGAGTAAGAATTTTTCCCCAATTTTTCTTTTATATCCCTAATTAAAAACAACAGGGAAAAACCAAACCAAAACAAAACAAAAAAATAACAGAGAATTGGATTTCCTTTATGAACTCAAAAGGAATGAATGGCTTTGAAAAGTGGAACTTTTGATTATATTTTCACATTACTTTGTTTTTTGGTGCAAGGGATTAAATTTAGGACCTTGTGAGGCAGGCAGCAGCACCACTCAGCTAAATCCCTGGCCCTTACATTACTTTTATTTTATTTATTTATTTATTTATTTCTGGTACTGGGGATCGAACTCGGGTCCTTGTGCTTGCAAGGCAGGCACTGGAACCACTGAGCCAAATCCCCAGCCCCTTTACTTTTTATACCTGCTTTAACTAAATATTTTTTAATGTTTAAAAATACTTTTAAGTATTTTTCCAAATGACCTTATTAATAAAATTCTGGCAGTTTATTCTGCATGGTGCTACCATTTTTTTGTTTGTTTTGTTTTGTGTTTGAGACAGGGTATTGCTATGTAGCTCAGGCTGACCTTGAACTCACAGTGATCCTCCTCCCTCAGCCTCCTGAGTGCTGGGATTACAAGCATGTATCACCACACCCCGCTACCTTTTTATTTTTGAGACAGGGTCTTACTGTGTAGTTTAGGTTGGTCCTAAACTCACTATGTAGCCTATGCTGGCATTGAACTCATAGCAATTCTGTGCCTCAGCCTCCATAACTGGTAGTACTACCTTATATTAGGAATTATTACATTCCTATATTATATTCCATTATTATATTTGAAGTATATCAAATTTTAGTATGACAGTATATAATGATAAGTATTTTAATACCTCTGCTTAATGGGCAGAATACGAACAATTTTCTAGTTGTTAAAATTTTATTATAGCTATTTTTTCTAGCATAACTATTTAATTGAATTTTATTGACTGAATATGGTTTTTTGGTCACATCTAATTACTTTAAGATGGGTATAATACCACTTAATATCTTTGAGAGTTTGATGTTAAATTCTTTAAGGAATTGTGATTGTATTCTGTGTTCTTATTTAGTTCTACTTGTTTTGTTTTGTTTTTTTCCAGCTGAAAATAAGTATTCAGGAGGGAATCCAGTTTGTGTACGTCCAACTCCCAAGTGGCAAAAAGGAATTGGAGAATTCTTCAGGCTTTCCTCTAAAGATTCTGAAAAAGAGAATCGAATTCCTGAAGATCCAGGAAGTAGTGGCTTAGGAAAAACAAAGAAAAAGTAAGTGTTTATATCCTCCCCAAAATAAAAGGCAAATAAGATATTACATAACTTTTTAAACTTGCTCTTTAAACCAGTAAGTACATAAAAACTAGCTTGGCACAATGGCACACACCTGTAATCGCAGCTGCTCTAAAGGCTGAAGTAGGAGGATCACAAGTTTGGGACCAGTCTGTGTATTGTAGCAGGACCCTGACTAAAATAAGATATAAAAAGGGCTGGAGATGTAGCTCAGTAGTCTTGAGCACCTGGGTTCAATCCTCAGTCCTCCAAAACAAAAAAACAAAATGAAGGTTTTTAAAAACATATTTTCCTTATTTTAAGTCACTCCCACATTTCAAACACAGGAGAAAGTATTTTTATCATACCAAAGAGAATTAGCACCCATTAGATAAGGGTACATCATTAACTATTAACATACTTTTTTTAATTCTTTAATTTTTACTTTGTGCTTTTGAGGCAAGGTCTTCCTAAATAGTTCAGACTGGCCTTAAACTTGCAGCAATCCTTGTACGTCAGCCTCCCCAGCATTGGGTTACAGGCACACACAACCATGTCCAGTTTTCATATTTATTTATTTATTTATTTATTTAGAGACAAGTTCTGGCTATGTACTTCAGTTCAGGGTGGCCTTGAACTCATCATATAACCCCAGCTGAGCTCAAACTCACTGTGATTCTCCTGCCTCAGCCTCTTGAGTGCTGGGATTACAGTGCCACCATGCCCAGCCAATTTTTTGTTTTGATTTGTTTTGTTTTGTTTTTGGTACTGGGGATCGAACTCAAGTCCTTGCACTTGTGAGGCAGGCGGAGGAACCACTAAGCTAAATCCCCAGTCTTGTTTGGTTTGGTTTGGTTTTTTGTGGTACCAGGGATTGAACTCAGGTCCTTGTGCTTGCAAGGCAGGCAGCAGAACCACTGAGCCAAATCCCTGGCCCCTGTTTTGTTTTGTTTTGACACAGAGAAATTTTACTTTTTCTCTCTCTCTCATTTTTTTTTTTTTTTGTGGTACTGGGGATCAAACTCAGGACCTTGAGCTTGTGAGGCAGGTGTGGTGCCACTGAGCTAAATCCCTGGCTCTTTAGTCTTTTCTCAAAAAGCAATTTCAGTGTTGATTATCATAAATTGAATTCCATTAAAGCTTGTACACCTCAAAAAATTACTAGTTTAAGGGGTGAGGGTATAGCTCACAGATTATTATGGATAAAGCTCTGGGTACATTCTCCAGCAGAAAACACAAAAACAAACAAACAAAAAAACTACTAGTTTAACTTCCATAACAAATATATAACCAATGTAGAAAAGTACAGAAATTTCAATCATCTAGAAACAATCAAGACTAACCCCGTGGTATGTTTTCTTTACAACTTCTCTATAAATTCTGAAGAATACTTTAAAACCAAAATGGGGACAATATCCATACTCAGAGCTCAATGTGCAGTTTTTAAGCTAATTAAATCATTTAAAAACTTAAGGACAGGGGCTGGGGATTTAGCCCAGTGGTTCCGCCGCCTGCCTTGCAAGCACAAGGACCCGAGTTCCATCCCTGGTATCAAAAAAAAAAAAAAAAAAAAACTTAAGGACAGGAAAATGTTCATGATATTTGTTAAGAAACATTCTGGATACAGAAGAATAATCTTTGCTATGTAAAATACATGTATATATACTGTTTAAAAATGTTACAAAGCTGGGTATGGTGGAGTATGCCTGCAATCCCAGCACTCAGGAGACTGAGGTAGGAGGATCTCTGCAAGTTCAAGACCAGCCTGGGCAACATAGTGAGTTCTAGGTCAATCTCAACTACATAGTGAGACTCTGTCTCAAAAAAACCAAAAAAAAATCAACAAATATCGAAAACTATAACCCCTGAGTAAAAAAGTCTTTTCATACTCTGTGCTACCAATTTACAACAATAAACATATGAATGTATTATATTTATGTTATTTAAAAATTTATTTTAGTTTTTTTTTAAAAAAGGTCTCGCTATTAGTTCAGGCTGGCTTTGAACTCACTATGTATCCCAGGCTGGCCTTGAACTCACAGCAATCCTTCTGCCTCAGCCTCCTGAGTGCTGGGATTAGGCAGAATGCATTTCTTTTATTTATTTATTTTGTTTTTGGTACCGGGGATTGAACTTGGGTCCTTGCACTTGTAAGGCAAGCCGCTGAACTGCTGAGCTAAATCCCCGGCCCCAGAATGCATTACTTTTAAAAATCAGGGGAAAACAAAAAAAAAATCAGGGTAAAATCTGGGGATTTAGCTCAGTGGTTCCGCTGCCTGCCTGGCAAGCACAAACACCCAAGTTCGATCCCGGGTATCAAAAAAAAAAAAAAAAAAAAAAAAGGGGGCCGGGGATAAAATCAGGGGGCTGGGGATTTAGCATAGTGGCACTGCACCTGCCTTGCAAGTGCCAGGTCCTGAGTTTGAGCCCTGGTACCTAAATAAATAAAAATCACGATGCTGGGCATGGTGGCGCACGCCTGTAATTCCAACACTCAGGAGGCTGAGGCAGAAGAATCACCAGGAGTTCGAGGTCAGCCTGGGCTACTTAGGTAGACTGTCTCAAAAAAAAAAAAAACTATCAGGAAAATGACTCAAAAAATATGTGTAAACAACAGGGCCTTGGGTCTGTACACAATTTTTAAAAGTTTTTAAAGTTTCAAAAACAAGTTATTTCACTCACTGTGGAAGGGGAGGGTGTGGTGCCATTGTCATTGTAATACCTTTTGAATGTGAGCCACCCCCCCACCAGGCTTGGTACTTTCACACCAGAAAGAAGCCTGGAGATCTCCCAGCCCAGCACGTAGCAAGCTGGTGCAGGGCACTGACCCACGAGGGGAAGAGATGGTGGCAAGGCTCGGGTGGGGCTGCTACTTCTGGTACTGCGCCTACCCACTCAGATTTATTCATTCCTCTCCTCAATCAGCATGCAGGGTCCTCCTGATAGTGAAAGCATAACAAAGCCCTTCAGCATCACACTGGAGGCTACCGCCTTGCTTACCCTTCCATATCTCTACTCTTAAAACACTCAGGTTAGGTGGGCTTTGTTTCACAAGTGTGTAATCCCAGCAGTCTGGGGGGCTGAGGCAGCAGGATCACAAGGAGCCTATCATGAACAGTTTAGCAATGTAGTGAGACTCTGTCTCAAAACACAAAACAAAACAAACAAAAAGTAAAAAATAGGACTCGGGATGAAGCTCAGTGTGAAGGCCCTAGGTTACTGGACAACAGTAACAAAAACAAAATAGGCTTGATGTGGTTCGTGGTACATGCCTGTAAGCCTGAACTATAGTGTGAGTCTGTGTGAGAAAGAGAGAAGGAGGAAGAGGAGGAGGGGCAAGGGGGGAGAGGAGAGAAAAGAATGGAATCTTAGGTCAAGAAAAATCTACAGTTCTCTAACATTTTAAAACCTGGTCCAGACGGCACTTGGAATTCCAATACCTACTAGGAAAAAACCTCAGGTCTTCATCCAATCTACTAATCCATTCATTAACACACAAAATCTCTTTTTTTCTTTTTTTTTTCATCTTTGAGATAGGGTCTTACTATGTAGTTAAGGCTGGCCTCGAACATGTGGTGACCCTCCTGCTTCTGCCTCCTGAGTGCTGGGATTACATGTGCGCGTCACTACACTGGGTTAACACAGAAAATATTGAGAATCCCAGACTGGGCTGGCTTGAAGTCATCTGTAGGATTTAACTAAATGATGAATGTCAATGTTAAATCTGATCCAGTTTTATTTACAATGTCGAGAAACTAAAAATGAATTATTGATTTTATTAAATATAGCTAAAGAAATATGAGCCTTTAAACCAGGTATGATAGAACATACCTGTAATCCCAATGCTGAGAGGCTGAGGCAGGAGTATGTTTGAGCCCAGCGTCGGCAAGTGAGTAACGTCTTGTCTTCATTAAAAAAAAAAAAAAAAAACTGTGGGGACATAGCTCCTGTCTGATCCCTATTACCACAGGGAAAGGCGGGCGGAGAAGAGAGAGGAACTAAAAGGTTTGCTGTCACTACTTTATATTGTTTCCGCTCTCCTAATTTTGTCCTAGTTTTTTGTTGTTTTGTTTTGGTGCTGGGGATTAAACCCGGGGCCTCACACACGTGCTAGGGGACTGTTGTATCTACCAATGAGCTTCATCCTGCATGCCTTGACATGGCATTGAACTTTCTGTGTAGCGAGTGGCATGTGCCAGGGCAAGGATGGATTGGAATCTACTTCAAATCCAAGCCTGAGTGATTCCTGCATACACACTAATAAGTATATGACATTTCCCTGTATATTACCATGGAATGGCAGTCTCAGATTCTTTGTCTTTTGCCTTTGGTGCTTTTAAAAATTAGAATAAAATTTATTAGTACCTGTTTGCGTACATAATCATTACATTCACTGTGGGGAGTTGGTACGTGTACAGAGCACATCTGAATTCTTGTTAACGCCCCCTCTACTCACTTTGGATCTCTGGGTCACTTCCCATTTGTAAAAGATCTATTTCCCTGTTTCCTATTATCTCTCTTTTATTTTGCCCTTTCAATTATCTATGCTTCAGGTTTCTCATAAGAGAAACCATGTGATATTTAAGCTTGTGTGTCTGATTTAACTTTACATTATGGTCTCAAGGCATCATTTTCACGTAAGTCACTCAAATTCATCCTTCTTTGGCAGCACAGTACTCCATGGTATGTAAATACCACATTTTCTTTTTCCATTCATCATTTGATGGACATACAGGCTGCTTCTAAGATTTAACTGTTTCGAGATGTTCTGCTATAAATATAAGTATGTTCTTGTCACTGTAATTTGGTGTCTTCAACTGTTCTGGGAAGATACCTAGAAGGAAGGAGTGTCTCATTCTTTTAGTTACCATACCTCATTTGAAAGGTAAGAAGTGCACTGATTTCAGTTCATCTTAAAAATACTCTTTTATTTTAGTGTATATTAAATAATTTTACAGTTTGAAAACTGATATATTTGAAAGGTGTATTTGATAAATCTTAAATTTAAAAAATATTAATTTTACACTTTTATTGTTGATACGCAACACCAGGGATTAAACACAAGGCCTGTGAACTGAGCTACATCCCCAGCCATTTTGTTTTGTTTTGAGGCAGGGTCTCGCTATGTAGTACAGGTTGCCCTTGACCTTACTCTGTAGCTCAGACTGGCCTTGAACTTGCTATCCTCCTGCCTCAGACTCCTGAGGGCTGGGATTACAGGTGTGCAC